AGCTGGACCAATTCACAGCTCCACCAACAATGCATTAGTGTTCCTGTGCTCTCACAGCCCCTCTAACAATTGTCATTTTCCTTGGTTTTCATGTTTGCCAATATGACGGGTGTGATATGGAAATTTAATTTGCATTTCTACTGGTGGTATGGAGAAATTTTTCACATAGTTGTTAATACCTTGGATTTCTTCCTTTGAAAACTGCCTGTTGCTACCTTTTCACCATTTATCTGCTAGGGAATGGCTCTTGTTCTCATAAATTTGAATCTGTTTCTTTTATATACTGGATTTGAGCTTAGTATCAGAGAAATTTTGTGCTTTTTTTGTTCTTCTGTTTCCCCATTCCTGAATGAAATGGAAAGTTTAAAAAAGCAAAATGTGCCATATTGTGGAATAACCAAATTAATCCCTCTTTAATGATAAAAACTACTATTTTTAAGCCATAGAAATAAAACTGAATTTGAGATATAGAACATTAATAATAATAAACTGAACAACCAAGACCAAATAATAAATCAACATATAAAAAAACACAGGTATTGGGACATTAAAACATCCTAAAGACTGGAATCTTACTGAGGTCTTATCTTAATTATACCAGATCTTCTATACAACTTTTGCTTAGATACAAAATAGGGATTGGGGAAGAAAGAAAGGCAATCCTTAAGTTCCAGAGAGCTTCAGCTTCTTCTAGAAAGCCACTGATATCCTGAGGAGTCTGAAAGAACAAAGGAAAATTGAAAGTGAGCTGGACCTAGATGTTCCTGAGATAATGGAGTCTCCTCCCCCTCCAATTCTCTCAGACAGTGAGAAGGGAAGGGTGGCCCTATTGATCATGTCATATAAAGAGGTCTACTGAAGATAAAGTAATTAAAAAAATTTTTTTCCCTTCCTTTCACCTTTGGACTTACTGGAATTCTGAAAATTTTCACATTTCTCAATCATAATCTTCACATACTGCAGTTGTTACCCATTTCAGGACCCAAAATTGGCTGGGAATGGGGGAAGGACAGAAATGTGACAATTCAAAGGAATTTCACTCAGCCCTCAATGTTCCCCACAGTGAAAGGTCAACTTCCTCTTTAGAGATCTTTAAGGGAAAAAAACCAGGGCTTTCAGTGATGCTAGGGCTCATCAGCCAATGCTGAGAGCAGAACAAGAGGAAAAGACATGATCCATAGCCAACAGTGGGCACTGGAATTGAAGATCCTCTCTTCCCTTTCCCATGATAAATGGCTCTTCAAGAACCAGGAGAACACAGCCTTTTCTCCACTCTTATCCCCTTAGAGGAAATCCCAAGCAAAGATACTTGACAGCCTTGAATAATTTGACTAATCACTCCTAGTTGCTTAAGAGAACAAATGGGAGGGAAGGCAATTGGAGTCATTTTGGACTCCTAAACAAAGAGGAAGTGTTTAAACTTAAGAACTCTGATCAATGCAATAAACAACAACTAAGGCCAATGATCCTTCCCATTTCCTGAAAGAGTGGTAACGGACTCAAGATAAAGAACGAAGCCTACATTTTTGGACATGGCCAATACTCGTCATTCAGTTATTTCAGTCATGATCCCATTTGAGGTTTTCTTGGCAAAGATACTAGAGTGGTTTGCCATTTCCTTCTCTAGCTCATTTTACAGATGAGGAAACTGAGGCAAACAGGGTTAAGTGATTTGCCCAGGGTCACACAGCTAGTAAGTGTCTGAGTCCAGATTTGAACTCAGGTCTTCCTGACCCTAGGCCCAGCACTATATCCACTATACCAACTAGCTTCCACTAATGACCAATGCAGGTATTCATTTTGCTTGATTATGCGTATTTGTTACAGGGATTTTGTTTTTCTCTTTTCTGTTGAGAAGGGAAGTAAAATAGTGAAGGGGGAAATGCTTGTAAATTGAAAATAAAATAAAAGTTGCATTTTAGAAAAAGGAAGTGGAAAGTGTTCCCCTTAGCATATGATGCAACCCTCTCCCAGGTAGTTAAAAGGGAAAGGATGTCAGGATTTATAATAGCCACGTGAGAATTTGGTGTCGGTGACAAGGTCTCTTCAGATTCTAGAAAATGAGGGAGATTGCTTCTGGGCAAGCTGACAGGGCCAGAAGCCATTGGACAGATCATAACCGGGGGTCTGTGAACTTTGATAGGAAAAAAAAATTGCATCTAAATAAACTCTAACTGCTATTTAGTATTTCATTCAATTGTCTAAAAATGCACATTCTAAGCAGGGGTGCAAAGGCTTCGCCAGACTGCCAAAGCGTCCATTGTACAAAAAAAGGTGAAGAATTTCTGCGAAAGCAACAAGATTCAAAGGAAGAACTCATGAGGCTTTCCCTCTTAATAGTAAAGATTGTGCCCAACAAGAGAATATTTTAGTTTGGGGTTTTTTCCTTTAAGAGATGGTTGAGGTTGGAAGGAGGGGAGTTCAGGGAAGAGGAAGAACCTTGACTATCCAAATGATAAGTATGGCTGAAATGAGAGAGTAATACATAGGGGCCCCTGTTAGGGGTAAGGAGGAAGTGGGCAAGAAAAAGAGAAGATGGGAAATAGAGGATCTGTGTCCTTGGGTATCATATGGAGGGCCGACATCTTGTCAAGGCATGTATGGATTTATGAATTTACCCTCTGCACCCCCACCTACCGGCCAAACCCTGCCTTCTTTTTGAACTACTTTTATTTTGGTAATTCTTAGTCACATAACCTAACTGGCTTTCCAAAGAAGCAAGCAATATGTTGCATGTAATTCTTCTGCCCAGTATAAAGCTGATAAGCAAATAACTAATTCAAAAAAATAATAAAACAATGCATAATAAAAAGACTTCTACCTAGCAGCTGTAAACTTGTGGCTCTACAGATACAAGAAGTTACAGACTTAAAAATGACTTCAAAACCAAGTGTTCTAGAAAATGCAGGTCCACCCCTCCTTTGAGTGGACTAAGGAGTGTAAAGAACCCAGCCCAGTTCAAATTCAGTGCTGGACTTGAGCATCCACCAGGGCAAATCATTAAGGCACAAACTTTTGACCTGGGATTCATGGAATGGAGAGTGGACTTTGGATCTAGGTGGACTTGAGAGAAGACAGATTTCCTCATTTTAGGCTATCATTTCTTTGGACATGACCTCCAACCTCCTCTAATTGCACCAAGATTATCATTCATGGAGCAGGGTAGAAATGCCCAGTGACTATCCTGCCTCCTTCACCTTGAACATGGTACCTCTTTATTGAACCTACAACTATTGTCACTTGCTGTAAGCATTCTCCAGCCAAATCCCCATGCTCTGATAAGCAAGGTGGGAAGGGGCAAATGGAGTGAAAAGAGTGCTAACATAAAATGAGTGGGACTTAAAGAGAGTAGATCTTTTAATCAACTAGACTATGTCTACAAAAACTTTATGATGAGATTTTTGTGGCCTATTTATTGTTTATCTATGAATCCCTCCTCTTTTCTGGCTTCAGTTTCCTCATCTGCTAAGCTATGGAAGCACGGTGTTAAGTTGTACCATCTATAAAATCTCTGCTTTATAGAAGCAAAAAGGTAGTGAAGTGGATAAAACTGTTGGACTTGAAGTCAAGAAGGCCTGAGCTCAAATACTGCAACAGACATTCATTAGCTGTGTGACCCTGGGCGGGTTAAGTCACTTATCTCCCCTCAGTTTTGCTTCAGTTTCCTCATCTATAAAAGCACCTACTTAACAGGATTGTGAGAATCAAGTGAAATAACATCTGGAAAATGCTTTTCAAACCTTAAAACATTATACAAACATTAGCTATTTTTCTTCATAACTGTACATCTAGGGTTCCATAATGTTATCATCCTATGACCAAATGGTCCCTAAAGTCCCTTCCAGTTCTATACTAGATGCAGTATTGGATTTTTTTATCTGGTTTATGATCCTTTTTCTTGATCTCTCCATGTTATACAGGGTCATCAGTACCCCCTGTCAGTAGCCAATCCCCATCTTTTGTACCAGATGGGAGAGAGAAGGTCAAAGAATAAAGGTATAACTATAGAGATTCATGAATTTCTCACATTGCGTAAATAGCTATGACCCATCCCCCTCTTTTATGCCAATTGGGAGACTGAAGTAGAGAGAACAAGTCAAGGAATAAGGAGCATGGCTATAGGGACTCATGAACTTCCTACATTGTCCGAATAACGAAGAAAAAAATCCCTGTCCTTTCTCTACCTCTTAAGAACACTGTGAAGATCAATGAGATGATGCCTGAAAAGTGATTTGTACTCCTTGGAGCAAGATGCTAAATAAATCCAGGATAGGCAGTGACCATTATCTTTGCAACTTCAATTTCTAACCCTGCCTCAAGGATCAGATCTAGTTTGAAAAACAAAAATGGTTCTATTCTCAAAGAACCATATCCTCTTCTTTTTCATCTGTGGGTTTTTGAATGGTGACAAGGGGCCCAGATACCATGGCAACATGAGCTGTGGAAAAACCTCAAACAAAAAGTGGAATTGAGAAGAACATATGGAGACAATGACCTCAGCGTGCTTTGTGAGAGATACCTTGGTGGAGGCAAGGGGACAACAATCCCTCCACTGCATCCCCACAATGCTGGCTGTAGCTAACAGTACCTTGATTCTTAATATGGAATTGCTGACTTCATTCTTCAAACACACTTCTGGTAGCTGTAGGGGATGTGGGGAGAATGGGACTGGAGCTAGCTTTATATCATTATACTCTACAATTTTTAGATGAGTTTCCCCCTCCTCTTTGGAGTCTCCTCTATTGTTTATGCTGGTATACAAATAAACCTGGTGTTCAGGAGGAGTTCACATCCAGGAAGGAGGGCAACACGGGAATGTGACTCCCAAAGACCCAAAATCACTTGGAATAAACTTATAACCTCATTGTTAATGGACATGTTCATACAGAGGTGAGATGATCACACATTAGGGATTTTATGGAAAAGATTACTGGGGTAGGAAGTTGCATGAGATGATCTGTAAGGTCACTTACAACTGGTGTTTCCATTATTCTATCCAGTGCAAAAGCAACTTTGAAACATTTAATGACCAGCCATCATTCCAGAGGCTAATGATGAAGAATGCTACCCACCTCCAGTCAAAGAAATGATGGACTAAATATGCAGAATGAGACATATACTTTTGGACATGGCCAATGTGGGAATTTAATATGCTTGACAATGAATACTTGTTACAAATTTTTTTTGGTAAGAAGGATGTGGGGGAGATGAGAGGGAGAGAAAATAAATGTTCTTTAAAATTTTTTAACTTAATTTTTAAAAGAAAGATTTAAGAACTCTGATTGCTGCAATGTCCAGGCAAGACTGGTGGAGTGATGTTGAAGCTACTCATTTACAATCAATAAACTCAGGGTACAAAATGATACATATGTTTTTGGACATGCCCAAAGTATAAATTTGTTTTGCTTGACTATGCATATTTGTTACGTGGGCTTGGTCTTTTTTTTTCTAATGTGAGAGAGGGGTGGCAGTAAGTAAGAAATTAATCTTGTTAATTTTTAAAAAATGAAAAACTTAAGAACTCTGATCAATACAATGCTCAGCCATGATTCCAGTGGCCTGATGATGAAGGGTTTTCTTTTTCTTTTTCTTTCCAATGAAAGATGAATCAAAGGGAGAGGGAGCTAGAGATAAGGAAGTCCAAAAAAGAAGGAAAAAAAGAAAATAAAGGAAAGGGGGTCATTGAAGCATTTTAATGCACATACAAAAACAGAATGAAATCCAGAAAGAATCACAAATAAGCAGGACAGCTTTGAAAATTACTTCTTGAATTTAATATCCATTTTAATAGAAAAAACAAGTTATACACCACAGAAATCCACAGTTTCATGTATAAGCCTCTTTTAAAAATTCTACTATGCATATGGAAATGATCATTTCATTTGATGATTGTTAAGTTAAAAAGTTTTTAAAATAAATTTTAAAAAACAAAAGTGTAACCACATTCTAGTTAGGAAATGTTAGGAGAGACATTTGTACATAATCTTGTAAATCTTAACTCTTAGCTCCCAATCTCAAACTGCCAGGTAAGTTCCATTCTGAAATTTATCAGAGCTGCCAGTTCTGAGTAGCACAGAAATGGCAGGGGCATGAGTGGGGGGGAGCTGATCCTGCTAAGAAAGCAGCCCTAGTACCTCTGGACCCAGCCAGAATATAAATTATTGAACAATATTTAGTCTGGGATGTCAAAGGGATAGTGAATGGAGACCTAGAGCAATTGATTGACAGGTCCTTTCCAGGAATGGTAGGCTTGCTTTGATTACTGCTCCCAGAGCAAGAAGTAGAAAGGGCCTGGGAGTAGGGACAGAGGAAGGGTACAGGAGTGCAAATCATGAAGATGCTTGGAGAGCAACAGCATGGTGGGTCTAGATCATACCAGTTATGAAGAATTCTCCTCAATTAGAACTCAGGGCCCCCAAACTGGATCTGAAGAACTGAATATGAGACAGGAGATATGCCATGAAGATGACCCAGGGGCAGCTAGGTGGCACAGTGGATAGAGCACTGGCCCTGAAGTCAGGAGGACCTGAGTTCAAATGTGGCCTCAGAACAAATACTTGACACTTACTAGCTGTGTGACCCTGGGCAAGTCACTTAACTCCAATTGCTTAAAAAAAAAAAAGATGACCTGGAAAACAGGGGCATGGTGAGTCTGGGCCAATCATAGACTCAAGTGATTTTTCCTACCTCTAAATGTTTATAATATTCATAATATTATAATAATTTATATTTAAAATATTCATAGTTTATAGTATTCTTAGTTTTATAATATTTATAGTTTATAATCTAATTCAGTAAATATTTACTAAGCACCAAACTATGAAGTAGGTATACTGGAAATACAAAGGGAAAAATGTAACCATCTCTTTCTTAAAGGAGTTTACATTCTACCTAAGGGAAATACATGTACAAAGATAAGGAAAGGGACAGAACTTGTGATTTCATTGATATATGGGACTCCCCCCATAAATGAAGGCTAGCATTTTCGCTGCAGCTTATATATAGTCTTAAAGAGTTGCCCAGGACAGGTTAAGTGACTTACCCAGAATCACATACTTAACATATATCAGAAACAGGGTTTGAACCCTTTCTGGCTCCAAGGTTGACTATCTATTCACTATACTACTTGTTTCTCTGGGGAAGATTATAATGAATAAAAAATCACTTATGAAAAATCATTTATTAAGCCCTTAATATGTACCAAGCACTGTGCTAAGTCTTGTAGAAACAAATAAAACATCAAAGAGAGTTCCCACCCTCAAGAAGCTTATGTTCTAATAAAAAAGACTAATACATATAGGAGAATCTTCAACAGGGTGGAACATTTTGACTTAGGAAGTTATAGAGAAGATCAGTAGAGCCATAAGGGGAGTAGATTAACACACCCTTTCTAGGAGCAACAACAGAGTTGATTTGATTATGGTTCCAGAACTGGAATGAGAGAATAGTTCTGAGCATAAAAGGATGAAGTCCTCTGGGGCTTGTTTTCTGGACTAGGTGAGAAGTTATGTGAATTATGGCTGGAGCCCAGGCCTAGATGTAGTTGGTGGCTAAGGTAACACAGTTAGGGTGTTGAGGTCCCAGGTATGAAGGAGTTAAGTCCTCCAGGACTTGGCTTCAGATAGAGGAACTTGTATTTTGTCCTAGAGGTAGTAGGGAGTCACTGATGGTTCTTGAACATGGGAGTGGCATGACCAGACCTGTGTTTTAAAAATATCAATTGATCATCTCTGTGGAAGGCTGGATTGTTGAAAAAAGGAGAAATGAGAATAGTTAGGAAGCTATTGTGACATTACTGGCAAGAGGTGTTCAGGTCTTGAATTAAAATGGTGGCCATATGAATAGAGGGAAGGAAGACAGATGCTACAGAGACAGAATCAACAAGACTTGGTAAATGGTTGAATGTATAGCACAATTTATTGAGTAATTAATTATGCATAACCTTGTGTGACATCACTTCTGGAATTTTGTGGTCCTGTGATCTTCTCATTCATTCTAAACTGCTATTTAAAACTAAGATGTCCAGAGAGTGATAAAACATGTATACTACCTGCATTTACTATCACAGCCTTTAGAACTGAAAGTGACTTTAGAGGTCATCTCAACTTTTTCATTTTATAAATGAAGAGGCCCACCCCCAGACAAAATTGGAAGATTTGGTCAAGGTCATACATGTAGCAAATATCAGAGCTAGGATTCAAATATAAATAGATCTTCCAGCTCCAAGTGAAAGATTTGAATGCCCAAACTCTTTTCACTACAACAGCAAACAAAATGGCCTTGTAGATGCCAAGCCATTCTTGGGCAGGGGTGGAGGGGTGGAGGGGTAGGGGGTGGGAAAGCAGTTACTCTTAAAGTCACATTCACCAAAACAAGACTAAAAAAGATGGCAAACTAGGTATAATATACACATATATTATATACACTTTCAGTTGAAGTTGCTATATTAGTCAATTTTGCTGAATTGCTTTTTTTCTTTCTTTTAAAAGCTTTGCTATAAGGGAGGGCTCATTGCATTATGGTGGGACAGACATTCTGAAATGAATGTGACATAAAAATCAAAGGCATCAATTTTTTTAAAAGGAGGGAAATAATCTAGGAGAAGTGGGAGAATAACCATCACAAACAGCTGTAGGATGAATAGGAGGAAGCTGATCTTTCCTAAGGAAACCCCATGTATAGGTGGGCTGCCAGAAAAATAACTGAGCTGAGACTCTGGAGAGCTGAATTCTAATCCCAGCTTCATCAACTCCATGACCTTGGGCAAATCACTCTCTGGGCTTCATTTTCTTCATCTAGCAAGTGATGGAGTTGGGTAGATGACCTCTAAAATCCCCTCCAACTCTAATATGCAATAACTCTATGAATTTATGGGGTTAGAGACTTCATAGGATTGGAAGGCTTCTGGTTGCCTGGGGGACCTGTCACTGGCTGTTGCCAATAGTTCTATGACTGCCTAATAAAGCATGAATGATTGCATAAGCAGCCGTGATGTGTTTCTAATACAAGAACCACTCTAATACACAACCACCAATAATTAGAAATAATTAATAATTAGAAAGGTAAGTCATTTATATTTGCACTATATATTTGTCAAAATTTGATGTTTATGTAATACTTTAAGTGTTATTTGTAAGTTGCTTTTCTTATATTATCTCATTTGAGCCTTACAACAGCCTTGCGAATTAAGTGCTACAGATATAATCATCCCCACTTTTGAGATCATTTAACTGAGTTTCAGAAGGTTTCCTTGAATAGAGCACTAGCCTTGAAGTCAGGAAGATCTGAGTTCATATCCAGGTTTAGACGCTTACTAGCTGTGTGACCCTGGGCAAATCACCTAACCTTTGTCTGCCTCAATTTCCTCAACTGTAAATTGGGGATAATAATAGCACCTACCTTCCAAGGTTATAATGAGGATCAAATGAGATAATAATTGTAAAGCACTTAGCATAGTACCTGGCTCCTAGTAGGTGCTTAATAAATGCTTGTCTCCTTCCTTCCTATGTGTAGGGCCATCTGCATATAATTCTGCACCGCCCACCATGGGCTGGAATTGGTCACTAGTTTCTTGAATCCACCACTAATGAGCTGAATGACCTTAAACAAATGACATCATGCTGCCCTTTCACAAAGCATTTTACATATGCCATCTAATTTGATTCTCCTGGCTGTCCTGTGAGATAGGTATGACATGATGTTCTTTTGTTTTTGTTTTTTTGTTTTTGTCATATCTGACTCTTCATGATCCCATCTGGGGTTTTCTTGGCAAAAAAAAAATACTGAAGCGGTTTGCCATTTCCTTCTCCAGCTCATGAGGAAATGGAGGCAAACAAGGTTAAGTGACTTGACCAGGGTCACACAGCTACTAAATGTCTGAGGCTGGATTTGAATTCCCGTCCTCCTGACTGCAGGCCTGTTGTTCTATACACTGTATAACCTGGCTGCCCTCATTATTGTCCCTATTTTGTAGGTAATAAAACTGAATCTCAAAAGAGTTGTCACTTATTTAAAATCATATACCTTAAGAATGACTCATCAAGGAAGCAAACCCAGGTCGGTTGACTATATCCAGAGCTCTTCCCTGACTAGTACTCTGCTACCTCAACCAGAGCTGAAAATTTCTTCCTGAAAGGGTTGTATATGTTAGTTTTTAGATCCTGTCCATTGTAGATTGTGTGGAATTGTGTTTGGGGTGGCCCTGCATGTAACCAGGGCAGGAGATTGCCTAAATGGTATAATTTGTGGTACTTTACAAGGTTCTGCCTTCTCCAAAACAATTTTCTTATCTGACCTACTAGGTCTGTGAAATTCCCACCATGGGAGTTATTCCTTTTGTATCTCTAGAAGACCCATACAAAAATG